TGTGGGGGCGATATGCTGAGTCTGTAAACTGCTTAGAGAGGGCTGAAAGCCCTATGAAGTGGTATATAAGTCTAACTGCTATTACTGCTGCTGCTAATGCTCCAGCTAATCATTCCTTTTTGTTCTAGTTCTTTGCTTTTTGCCCATTAGTAAATTTGTATATTTTGAAATACAGCTTAGCCTATCAAAGAATGAGCTGGGAAGCCCTGAAGAAATCCATCAATGGTCTGATCAACAAGGTGAACGTTTCAAACATTGCCAACATTATCACTGAACTTCTTCAAGAAAACATTGTGAGAGGCAGGTAAGCATGAAATAATGCACAGAGCAACCCTTTCTGCTCAGTTGAAATATGTGTGAATATTGATGAATGCATATGAAACAATACTAGGGATAGAGAAAATGTGGAACATACCCCATTGGGACCTGGGTAGTGGCTTTAGGTAGAGAGGAAAAGGACAATGGTAAGACAAGCACTGCCTAATTCACCCCATAAAATCCCTCTAAAGACCCCTGCAGATTTAATTTAAATATATTCCAAGCTTTCACTGCAGAATTCCTGTTAACTTAGTGGATTTGCTCTGCGTTTGAAGAAGACACGTTTTATATTGCTTGCACAACCCGTAGATCTGGGCTTCTTGTTAAAAATACTCTACAATGTATTTATAGCGGCTCCTACTTGAGTCAAGCTGGCATGTTTGTTTTAAAATAAGAATGGCTTGATCAAAGTTCATGCAAGTTTGCAGATCAATTGAAGATTTGTCCTTTGCCAATTCTCTCGAAGTCAAGATGTTTTTACACATTTTGTGGGATTCTAATCCAGGGATCAAATTAGCTTTAAAGCTTTTAAAGCATGCAACATGACTTCTGTAATCTGTGTTTTTTTTTTAAAAAAAAGCTAGGTCTTTAAAAAAAAAACCCAGATATTAACTGGAGTTCTGTTATATTACAACGGATATTTTCTGATCCATGACCACAAACTAGTTTGAATGGAGATGAGAAAATTGTGAATGCCTTCTAACTGTAGTGCTCAAAAATCAAACAGTTTCATATTTGCTTCTTTTTAATTCTTAAGTCTTCTTTTGTGCACTGGATTTCATTTTGCAATCTTAAATGATATTCAGATACTGTTAAAAATGATGAAGTCTGTCTGATTAGGTTCTTGAGCTCTTCCGTTTATTGCATTAGTAGAGTGACTGAATAAAAATAAGGCTTGTGTTTCATGGCAGTTTGTTCATATTACATAACAATCAATTTACCCTCTTGCTGGTTTTTTTTTTAGTCCTGATAAGCTGTTGGGGAAATGAGTTTTCTGTCAGTGTTCCTCTTTGATACAGGAGTAAGTAGAAGCCTCTGATGGATTCCTAATCCATAAATATCCTCCTCTGACATGCTTCTTCTAAGTGCTTAATTAAAACACAGATTACCAGGAAATATCTTTATATCTGTATTAGGAGGCAAAATATACTTGTTGAACTTAATTTACTTTTCTATCTCAGTACATTGATGACCTTATACGTTAATGACTTTTAGCTTAATGACCGATAAGCTTTCTCTATATGGGCTGTAGTTATGCTATTTTTCCTAATGGATTTAGGTAGCAAGTTATCATTATTCTGAAAATTACAAGGGTAGTAATTTCTTACTTTAATTATACAGGTGGTCCTCAAGTTATGACTATAAATGAGCCCCCAACATTTCTGTTTCCGAGTGGAAACATTTGTTGAGTGAATTTTGACCCATTTTATGATCTTTCTTGCTGCAGTTGTTAAGTAAAGCACTGCAGTTGTTAAGTTAATAACATGGTTGTAAAGTGAATCTGGCTTCCCCATTGATTTTTGCTGATGAAAAGATCGCAAAAGGTGATCACATGATGCATGGACACTGCAATTGTCACAATACGACTCAGTTGGATCTTGGGACATAGCAATGGTCATAAGTATGAACCAGTTGCTTTTTTTCCCAGCGGTGTAACTCCATTTGGTCTTCACTAGAAACTGTAAGACTCAAAAATGCAATAGGTTTGATAGAAACTTGTGCTGTTAAATGGAAACATGAATATCATATTGACATTCATGACACATGTCAATGACATATTGACAACATTGACATATGAGAGAACAGGATTTGGGAGTTACTTGTAATAAAGTTTCTTTATCATTTTGCCTGGTATTAAGTGTCAACTATTCCTTTCCGAAACACTGTTGGTAATGTATAATATCGCAATATAAGCTGACAGCATGCAGAATAGTATCGCAGATGAAAAACCTAAAATTATCATAGTGAATATCATATGTTAGGCAATATGATAGCTTAGTGATAATACTTTGTGCTGGAGAAAAGCCAATGATTGTCTTCAAGCTACCATGTCATAGAATTTAAGGGAGTCTAGTAAAGGATTAAGTCTGAATTTAGATGCATTAAGTTGTATTAGTAGAAATGGATTTCTCTACCTACTTCTTCCCAGTGCAGCCCTTTCAGATTCTCGCCCCACATAAGTACCGTATTTATCGGCGTATAACACGCAGTTTTAAAACTAAAATTGCAAGCTTAAACCCTGCCTGCGTGTTATACGCCGATACTGCGTGTTATACGCCGGTGCGTGTTATACGCCGATAAATACGGTATATTTCAGGGGGTCAGAGCTGCTGCTGATTGGGTAGACTGGTGGAGTGGATAGAATACCCATACAGGGAAGTCTATCAATCAGGTGAGGCTTAATCTCGTTGAAAACCTTTTAAGGAGCTAGGAGCAGTAAGGAAGTTCATTTCCACGTGCCTTGTTGCCTGCATTTACACTTAGATTTTCTTTAAAGGGTCTTTATGTCTCTTTTCTCATTTGTAGGGGATTACTAGCAAGATCAATTTTGCAAGCCCAGAGCGCTTCCCCCATCTTCACTCATGTATATGCAGCAGTTGTAGCAATTATCAATTCCAAATTTCCAAATATTGGGGAACTGATTCTCAAGAGACTCATTTTAAATTTTCGCAAAGGATACAGAAGGAATGATAAGGTACGGAAAAAGCCATTGGAGAGGTTAATTGAATAAGGTTGAGTCTGTTAAATTCTTTATATTTTGAGCTGTCTTAGGGAAATATGCTCAGACTTATTTCCTCATTAGCGTATTAGGGGTGCAAAGTATATAGTCATGAGGAGATCACAGAGAAGAAAGGGCCATATAATATTAATTTTTACAGGAGTAAATATCAATTGAAATTCGCAAGTATTTTAATATAATAAAAACAAAATGCTTTCTATACAACAAAATTGAAAGAAGGATTGATTTAGTACATTCAATTAATTTTTTAAATGATTGCAAAGTATGCAGGACTGCACATGAAGAAACAAAGTATTGTTCTCTTGGTGTCCAAATATATTGTGGGGTTTTTTTTGGCCATTGTAAAGACTAAGAACAAAAAAAATAAAATCATTCAGAGTATAACAAACAAATCCATGTTAAACAGAAGCAAACGCTTGCAATTCTGTAGCATAACAGTGAAGTAACGGTTGCATAAGAACTGACTTATAAAAGTGCTTTATTTTTTACATTGCTTTACACTATATTAGACAAACCATATTATCCTTATTGAAGTTTCTGAGCCAAGCCATAATACTGTGTAGTTATTAAGCCATAATTATGCTATACAATTTCTAAACTGATTGTAAATTTAATCCTAGTTCATGTAGGCCCACTAACTTAACCCCACTTTTTCGTTTGACCTAAAGATGGTTACTGGCAAATATTTTTTGTCTCTTTTCTTTTCCAATAAAACTAGTAAGAGACACGCAATTTCTCTCTTTTTAAATTGTAAAATGTTAAGTACTTCTGTGAGCCACTCATGCTAGCATGAACAACCTGTAGCTCATAAACTCCCTGTTTGTATCCTTTCCAGTCTCCTCTGCCTTGCTCAAGAATGACTGTAATTTCTCATAATTTTGAAATATTAAATACATGAAAATGGATATAAGACTTAACGTCAGGTCACAATTAAAAAAAAAACCAAGGAAACCCCCCCAAAATATGTTCCAAACAAACTACTCCTATATGTACATAATGTGACTTTATTCGCTTCATGACCTTGCAGTGTCCTGAAACATTATGCGTGGTGTAATGTTTCTCGTGCTTCAGTAGGTTATTCATCCTGGCATAATGATAGAAAAATAAAGCAATTTAGAATAATGTAGATCTCTGTGTTTTGTTTTGCAGCAACAGTGCCTGACAGCTTCCAAGTTTGTTGCACATCTTATGAATCAGAATGTGGTAAGCTATTTGTTGTAGGGACATCATAGTCTAGCTTTTGATACTTACAATATAATCTTCCCACAGTAACCAAAAAAAATGAGGAGTTGTGGTTATCTATTGATGTTTTATAGCTTCTTGTCTGTCTAGATTACTTTTTGTCGCCATTTGTAATACGCTAAACTCAACCTGAATCATGTCAGAACCACAATTTAGAACCACAAAAGACAATTAGGAGGCCTGGTGGTACAGTGGTTAGAATGCAGTAGTGCAAACTAATTCTGCTCGCTGCCAGGAGTTCGATCCTGACCAGCTCAAGGTTGAATCAGTCTTTCATCCTTCTGAAGTCAGTAAAATGAGGACCCAGATTGTTGAAGGCAATATGCTGACTGTAAATCACTTAGAGAGGGATGTAAAGCACCGTGAAGCGGTATATAAGTTAAGTGAATATATAAGTGCTATTGCTATTAGTGAGTTACAGGCATTATGCTTTTTGCATTCAGTCATCATACATGTTTAGGTAGCTTTTCTAATGAAGTGATTGAAGAAGCAGTCATACATTCTAACATTTATATTTGAGATGGCAATCTCATTTTTTAAGGTAGTAAAGTCAATTTACTTTTACCTACTAATATCACCATCGCCATGGGTCACGATGGGTCGGACATGACTTCGCAACTAACAACAACAACTAATATCACTAATATCTCAGAAATAAGTAGTAGCTATTTATTATGTGTGGAAGTTTTCCCTAAGCAATGCAGTCGCTAAGTGAGACATCTTGTGATCTAGATAGACTCCCAACCTCACTTCCTGCATGATCATTAAGAGAGACATTATGTGACCACAACTGGTGATTTTACTGCTGGTTCTCCGTTAATTCTGTTTGTCAGAAGCTGATAGTAAAGCACGCAAATGGTGATGATGCAACCATGGAAACTGATGATCATAAACAGCTGCTGATTATGAAGCACCCAGATCTCACTCACTGAGGGGATGCTGCAAGTTATAAGTATGAGGACTGGTCATAAAGTTACAGGGCGTTCTCAACATTATTCAGTAAATGTTTGAAATTACAAAAAGTGCTGAATGAATGGTGGTTATGACAGGTCCTCGGAGTTTTGGCTGTCCCATCAGCCTTGTGGTCAAGTGATTGCAATCTGGGCACTTGAAAACTGCCTCAAAGTTAAAACCA